AGCGGATCTCTTGATATTCTCGGGAAATTCTCGGGAGTCTCGGGAGTGTAAAACTTTCTTCCCACCTTGGATATGAAAGCCGGGCCTTTGGGATGATTCCGATGGTTGAAACGCAGAGCTTCGGCGCGAGAAAGGAAGGAAATTAGCAATTTTGGCCGGCACCCTCGCATGCTATTTATAGGGGTCTGAGGGGGTTGCGTTACGCGGGGCGTACTAGAGTACGCGCTGCGTACTCATGCGTCATGCATGAGCGCATCCTCGGTCGAAGCATTGGAGCGACGTGGACGAACCGGAGCCTAGCATCCGAGTACGCTGGGCGTACGAGGGATCGGACCGGTGACTCCTCCTTCGGATAATACCAGGATTTAATTTAATTTATATTTAAATTAATTAACAAACTTCAAAAATTCATATCTTTCTCATACGAACTCCGTTTTCGACGTTCTTTATATCCACGCGAAGGTGAGACTATGATCTACAACTTTCGTTTAGACTCCGTCGGCTAGTTTTGATTTTATTTTTAATATTGTATTTTTAATAGGTCGGGACAAGAAAAGTCCGTTAAAGTTCCATAACTTCTTCTCCGACGTCCGTTTTCGTCAGACTTTTTACCGTTGCGCTAGTATTGTTGAGCCCTTCGATTCTCATTTAGATTGTGTCGGCTAAAAGTCTCTCGATCTCTATTTCGAGTTTTTAGCTGTCTACTGATATATTTGTAACTTAGAAAAATCACCACTTTTCATACGAAGTCAGATTTGGACGTTCTTTTTATGTACGTTTACGGTTTGATGATATCTAAAACTTTCATTTAGATACCTAAGGCCAAATACTATTGTATTGAAACTTCACGTTTTACATTTATTAGTATTGCCGGTTTTGCCGAGAATCTTCGATTGGCCATAACTTCTTCGTTATAACTCGGATTTTAGGGTTCTTTATATGTATGAAAACCTTGACACGATTCCTACTACTTTATTTAAACCCAAATAAGATTTTTGGAAGTTAAATTTTGACCTAAATTTGACTTGCGTTCCATTTATTGCCTCGAAATATCGAGTTGTCACAGATACCAATCTGTCACCCAAAACCAAGAACGGCGGAAACGTTCTGGGGCGGAGGACGTCATGTAAAGTACCATAACAATGCAAAGTAGTAACAAGCACAACATCCTACATTGCATTAATAATAAAGTTTTAATACATATGTTCTTTGTAATGTAATAGACACCAAAATGAATGATCAAAATAAAAGACGAGTCTTGTCTGTGCTCTGTCTTCTCAAAACCTATCACCGGTACCTGTCTACTAATGACCTGATAATACAAGTTATTTTGAAAGCGTAGATCAGCATTTAAGCTGGTGAATTATAAGTATTTTAGTGTCTTTGATTTGTAAAACTGTAAATAAAAGACTTGTAAATGTTTGATGAAAAAATTTGTATAAGTATGAAAACCCTAGAAAATCCCATATTTCGTACTAGTATAAAATGTAGTCTTCTACCATGTGACAACCGTCAATTTCCAGTCAAGTCAAAGTCAACCGAAGTCAAAAAGTCAACCGTTCGACTCATTTTGCCCGTGGGTACTAGAGTTTATGTTAGGTAAATACTAAACAACTCGCTATTCTAATGAGAGATCATAAATAAAAAAGTGCGAACATCTAGATCTCCTTAACCTAAAACTGTGGTACGTGGC